ATTTAGAGATCTTCAGGGAACAAGAAATAGAATCGGATACTTCCGATATACCAGCTCGTAACGTGTATATAATTTTATTTGGCTATTTTCCGCGGATTTAAAAAAAAAACAGTTGAATGAAAAATTAAAAAACAGTTGGATGAAAAATTAAATTTTAAAAAATTTTGTAAGGATCCAATATTCTACTACTTCAAGCGTTGGGCCTTTTGTGCGGGCGCTGTGTGAATCGGTGGGCCGTTGGAGTAGGCCTCGTCGCTATATTAGGGTGGGTCAACTGCCCAGAAATTTTTTATACAATATAAAATAAAATAAATATATATATAAACTTTGAGATGCAGGAACGCGTTAGTATGTACGTGTGAGCTTGGTACTTCCGCTGTACCAGTTCGTTACCGTATGTAAAAACCCAACCCGAAATTAATTCGCACGGGAATCGAATTTTTTTTTTTGTAAAATATTAATTGGCTGCACTTGGTACTTCCGTTGTACCAGTTCGCCAACGGATGTAAAAAAACCAAACCGAAAATAATTCGCACGGGAATTAAAAAAACATTTTTTTTAGCTTTGCATATAACGCGTGAATCGGGGGTTTAAAAACTGCGAAAGCAGGAACGCGTTATTGAAAAATATTAATTCGCTGCAGTTCCAGAATTTTGTTTAATATATATTATATATGTGTGAACTTGGTACTTCCGTTGTACCAGTTCGCCAACGGATGTAAAAAAAACCAAACCGAAAATAATTCGCACGAGAATTAAAATTTTTCGAAAAATAATTGGAAAACTGACAACTCACCTTACGTTGAACCTCATTGCTTGGTGAGCAGTATCGGGAGGCCTTGTTGACAGCCTTAGCCTTTGGTGGTGACCTTGCCGCAAATGTTGGGCCTCAATAGGCCTTGCCGCAAACGTTGGGCCCTAGTAGGCCTTGCCGCAAACGTTGGACCTCAGTAGGCCTTGCCGCAAACGATGGTCTCTAGTAGGCCTTGCCGCAAACGTTGGGGCTCAGTAGGCCTTGCCGCAATCAATGGGCCTTTGGTGTTCACCCACTACACTTCACTTCACTTTACTTTACTAAGCGCCTTGCCTTGTGGCACTTGGTGCCGGCGCTTATTAACTTTGCTGTAGCGTATTGCGTCGTGCAAGCGCGCTACACACTACACTTTATAGGGGGGCGCTTCCCTTATTGGCGGTTTGTAAATGCCTGCGCGCTAACTTTTTCACTTCACTATTTTTTTTTTTTCAATTTAACAAATTTTGGCCTTACTTTATTTTTTGAATTTATTTTTGTTTTTTTTTTTTTGCAATTTAATAAATTTTGGCCTTCTTAATTTTTTGATTTTTTGGCCTTTTTTCACTATTTTCACAATCTTTTTTTTATTTCAATAAATTTTGGCCTTACTTAATTTTTTGATTTTTTTTGGCCTTTTTTCACTATTTTTTTTTCAGTTCAATAAATTTTGGCCTTACTTAATTTTTTGATTTTTTCACTATTTCAACTATTTTAACTATTTTTTTTCAATTTAGCAAATTTTGAGCTTACTTACTTTTTTGATTTTTTGGCCTTTTTTCACTATTTTAACTATTTTCAATATTTTTTTTTTTTCAATTGAATAAATTTTGACTTTACTTATTTTTTTGATTTTTTGGCCTATTTTCACTATTTTAACTATTTTCATATTTTAACTATTTTCACTAATTTTTCTTTTTGTGTTCAGCACATATATTTGATGTGTATTTTTCAACCGGAATTTTTCAAAATTCTCGGTTGCTGGCAAAAAAAATAATACCTGAGTCGCCTCACTGAATCCTTCGGTTGTCTCCTGGGGATAATTTGCTACCCGCTAGTCGTCCAGGTGCCCCGATGTCTCCAGATTACTGCGACTCTTACACACTTAATGGTAATTGAGCTGTCGTCTAGCGCAAAAATTACGAAAAATTCGCAACCCGAATTTTCGTTAATTCGCAGTTGTTGTCCTAATATATTATATAAATCACTTACCTTAACCTTCCTGTTGTGCACCCGTCGTAATCCTTTGCCATTCCGTCCTTGTGGTGCTCCGATGCCTCTGGATCAAAAAAGGGTCCTACTTCTGCTCTTGATGGCAGTCCAGTTTGAAAGGAAAGAAATTTGCCGGAAATAGCCGCTTCTTGCCTTTTTGGTTTCCACTGGATTCGCAGAGTTGTTTTTTGACGTTGTATAATATGGTTACGCCAACCACTAAATATTTTGGTAAAGATTGCGCCACTTACCAATTTTTTTTTTTTTTAAGCGACTTGGCAAAGGAAGTTTTCTACTCTTTTGTAAAATCGATATTTTACAAAGGAATAATAAATTTTGCTAAAAATAGCTTATTCTTTTCTTCCTGAACAGATCCGGCTTGAAGGACCATGTTTCGTCTCGGGGTTAGTTGGGGTCGGAATTCCTCACGAATTCCGACAACGGGGCTCGGGGGAGGTGCCGGTCCTTCAGGAAGCTGTAATAAATCCCTAAGCTTTCTTCAAATATAAGGCAATTATATTAAATAATTCAATAAATTCAATGTAAATATATATGCAAAAATATGTCGCACAAAGGAACACACTCACCAAAAGATGTTGCTGCCGTGGCTGTGGCGGAAGACCGGTGGAAGTGGTCTTTTAAAGAATTCCGCAGAAGGTTGAAATCTTAAACGGGGCTAACATGACTCTTCCCATAACTTTGAAGAGTCATATATTAACGAAAATTAGCAGTGCCATCTGTTGGTGAATGTTATGGCGGCTGCCCAGGGTTGCACGCATAAACACATACAAAAACAATTTTGCTGGTACAATATTTTTTCGTAAAAAGCAAATAAATTGTATTAAAAAGCGTTTGTATTTCTTATGCAATTAATGCACTTTATATGCGCAATTACATGTATGTGTATATACACATAGGAGTAAAATAGCTCGTTTTTTAAACTTTTCTTTTATTTTCAATTAATTTACACTTGTAAGTCAAAACTATGATTAGGAAGTTCAAAGTCCAGGCGGATTTATTTGCAGCAATGTTTTAATTAAATGTGGTATATTACATTTAATTCGTTTGTAGAGGAGTATGAAACGCTAATATAATGGTTATTGGAGCGAAATTAATAGCATTTATGTATGTATCAAATATAAGCTGATAAGTACAGCACACCTAAATAAAGTTTCGTAAGAATATATACATATGGATAAAAAAATGTTAACGGCAATTTTTACAATATGTTTTAACATCTCAATTGTTAACTGTATAAACAAAAAGTTGGTAAATATATTTTGCCTTATGAATATTATTAAGCAAAGCCGAAGCATTGACTCGATCCTAGGCATATGTACTTCCAGGAAAAGGTGTATTATCAATAGAAAATAGGGCCAAAAGCAACTACTGTACCTAATTTTAGTAAGTCAAACGATATAAGTGAATTTAATTTTTTGCGAATAGATAGGTCCCAGGTGCACTCCAGGTCCAACTTTGGGATTTTTGCGACGAGCGGTTTATGCTGTGGGTTGATACGTCACTCTCTCAGAGCAAAGACGTTTATATATATGAAATGTTCTCAGTTATTTTTGTTCGTCAATTTGATAATGTTGAAACAAAAGGTAAAATATTTTTTTCATATCAAATGCTTTAACCGCAAATTAAGATTGCAGTGCTTTCGTAAATCCGATGATACCTAAGCCAGGTAAAGATTCAACTTTGGTGTTGGTATATCAACAAGAATTGATAATTATTATAGTGCCTTAAATGTTATTATAGAGTTCACTGTTTTAGATAACATTTGAAGCTACTTAAGCTTGAAGTGAAACCCAGGTCTATTCATTGCATCTTTGAATTACGTCAAATTTTCTAACTGCGGTGGTCCCTCAGAGAATGTCAACCTCTCCGAGTGTATTTATGACATAAAATAAAGGCTCCTCATAAAAAAACCATCACCCGTTCGGAGGTGGCTGAGTAAAAACTGAAATTCTACCCACTTGTTGGGAAAACATCAAGACACAAAGCTACAAATTATATAATGAGGACACCCTGTATATATACATATAATATACAGGAATGTTTCATTACTACCGAATACATTGCCTATCATTTAACTAGGGAACAGTTGTCCTTTTTGAATTGTTCTGTTATTTGCTTCTTGATATTGCATATTAATGCTACAATATACTTCACAGTGAGGGGGGCTGGATCGATCAACTAGGGTTTTTGATTTCCAGCTGCAAACACAGCTTTTTATGTCAATTACATGTAGGCTCGTATGATATCGGGGGCGATGTATTCTACCGCCCCGTATATACTTAATTTTATAATTAATATAAAATATAATTTTGTATTCGGAGTGATTTACTGGTCAAGCTGGATAAGATTGCGCCCTTTATATATACATATATTTACATAATCACTTTTAGACAAGAAACATTTTCGAAGGTAAAGATCAGGGAAGGAATTTTATAGTGACATTTGAACGTTCTACTCAAAGCAAATTCATAGTACTTAGAAGAGGGCGCCCATTTCAACAACTTTTTTTCATTGGTTTAGTTAGTCATTATTTTTGAAGAAATGTTCATCTTTATAAATTAATTTTTGAAAAACTTTAAGTTTGTCCAACTATCTGTTAAATCTAATGAATCACCACCAAAAAAAAGTTGTGGTAGATAATACACGAAACCGATACCTCGTTGGTGGCATCTCCAGATTGAAACTGCTGCTCCAACTGACTTTTGACAACAGTAAGTTCTACAAAATTCTAACTCACTCAAACCTACACTAATATGTTGATAACTTATTATTTTCCTTAACCAAATATACACATATAAAGGAATGTGCGAATGTAGCAAAGTTCTTTTTTCCAAAAAAAAAAAAATAATAAATGTAAAAAAATAGACGAAAAATTAAGAAAAAAAACTAGTAAATTTATTACACTCGACATTTGCACTAAAGCGAAACAGTTTTCGAATTTTGTTTTATATCCTTTTTCCATTTAATTTTATTTGCAGAAGTTAAAAATCACATGTTACCGGCCGGCGAACTTTTGGTGTACAACATCACACGCACCGATGCGCACAAAGTTTATCGCTGCCGTACACATTACAAGCTAACGCAGGACTCCGTTGTGAGCAGCAAAATTCAATTGACTCGTAAGTTAACTACAAAACATACAGCAACAACGTAGGGTGACTTTAATAGAGAGTGTAGGGAATATGAGCATTGGCGATTCCATGTATGCTTGATCTCTTTTTTAGTAGGTGGAACAGTCAAGTAAGAGAATATGTTGAGGTGATTGTTATGAAAAAAGACATCTCAAATAAACGAATACCCACAGAGTGTGTATGTTGAGAAAATTTAAAATGTAGTACCGAGAAATATAGGCAGACAACAAAAAATTGCTTTTTGAAGGCTATGCAAATTCCGTTTTTAGCATTTAATGAAACCATTCCGCTACTTTCGATTTTTGAATTGCTACGCTTATTCAGTGACTACGCCGTTGCTGACGATTTCGAAATACTTTTAGTTTTTAATTTAATTAAGCCGAAAAAAATTTAAATTTCATGCAAAATATGAAAACTTATTTTATAAAAGTAAAAGTAATTCATATATGACGCTAGTTGTATTGCTTTCACCTCTTTTTCAGTTAATATTAACCTCCAGAAAAATCTGTTAAAATTCCGTTCATTTCGATTCATAAGTTTTAGATTTATTCTTCTCATAGTGTCACTTCTTTGTTATTTCACTACTGTTAATTTAAACAATTCGAGTTTAAATTTCTCCACCCTGAAGAACAATAAAACGTTGGCTTTCTAGCTTCTAAATTATGTTTTAGAGACGGCATTGGTACAGAAGGTAGTGAACTTCCAGAAGAGGCGAGGGCGCCTTAGGCATTAACCAAAATAAACGATCCGAATAGGAGTACTCATCGATCTGAACATAGAGGTCTTTTGAGTCCTACAATATTACACAAACCTCAAGCCTTGTGACAAAGACAGAGAAAAACGGGTTGAAACTCGTTTTTGAGCTTATTCCAACAATTTTCGAAAGAGAAATTAAATCTGTAAGACTTGGATTTATCATGAGCATCAGTTTGCACCCTCTGCCCGCAAATCTTTGAAAATAACAGTACACTCCGCATCCGCCCCTGTCTGTATATCTATTACGGCTGAACGATTTTTGTTGAAATTTTCGCAATATGTGTTTCTTTGGAAAGGTTTATGCAAATGACTTGTAAAGATTGATTTTAATAAGGGAAAGAGAAGGGATAGACCTATCAATATTTATATAAATAAGGTCAGAGCGACGAGATGAGTTGGTTCAGCCGCACCCATTTATTTGCCCGTTTGTTAGCAAACTAGTACTTCAGTATTTTGATAAACATGTCTGAAATGTCCACACCGGATCACTATAGTGTGCATACTTCCGTATCAATCAAAATTGGGCCAAAAAGCATTTGGGGGCGGGGAATTCGGTATTTACAATAATACAAATACGTATTGATCCTGAAAATGGAATCTTATTTCCAATAAGGGTGATAAATTCAAAAAATGTAAGAGCATGGTCAAAGGTAAGATTTTTTTCTCTTTCATAACCAGGCCTACAATTTTCCTACAATTAAATAATATTTTGCTGATAGCAAAAAAATAAGTCTTTTCTTGATAATAAAGTTTTGGATCTTACTGCATTGTTTTAAATGGATTTACCTTCATTAATCAGGTCAATTGCACCATTCTTAAAGGTTGTACATACCTTGCTTCCTTACGGCGAAACGGTGGTGATTTCAATTTCCTTAGTTCATTCAAAGCTGGCATATTACTTAATCCGAAATGGAATTTGTCCTAGCCGTTCCTCTAGATCTGAAAGGTCCAACGTAGGATTATTCGTTTTCTTCTTGCTCCACTTTTAAACTGCTTTTAAATCTTAAATCACTTATGTGTTGCTTCAATCTTTGCCACTTATTTTTGGCATCATAAATTGGTTAATGAATTGTCCGGAGCTTCTCACAGATCTAATTGTTACAAATTTTATCTTGTTTAAAAAATTTTATAAATATCCTCGTTTCAATTCATAATTCATAAAAATAGTTTTAAGTATATAATATATCTTAGTAACTGCTTGTCTTTTTTTTAAGCAAGTAGAGTTTATAAAATCCAACACCCAATATATATACAAATTTTTTTAAAGAAAAAAATAAATAATTACTTAAACTCTGCGGTGAAGTTTGAATTGCGGGTGGAAGAACCTTAAAAAATAATGTTTGTTTTAATTTTTAATTAAACATACATACATAAAAAAAACCAACGCCAACTTTTTGAAATGCTCCCGTAATTGCTGTTAATGAATTTTAATTTTAATTTTATTTATATTGAATTATTAGTATTTTTTGTTTTTTTTTTTTGGTTTATTTATTTATTGCTCTTTAATGTAAATATTTATTATCATATAAATGCAGAACTTTTATTACATTTTATTTATTATTTTTCTCTGTTTCTTCTTCTTTCCACAGAAATGCGTGGTGGCGCTTCCGTTGTAGTGCCGTGCGTGGCCTATGTCAACCCGAAGCCAGTTTATCGGTAATTATTTTGCACTATAAATATTATATGTATTTTCTTCTCTTTGCTGTTTGCACATATAAATATCAGTGTATAAATACAATAAAGCCTGCGGCGCAACTTTCATTAGCTCATATTTCACCAATATTTATGTACATAAATATTTATACTAGATAAGATGTTTGACTGTTTTTAAGTGTCGTTGTGGGAGGTTATTCTTAAATACATCACTAAAAGTTATTGTAGCATGATGGTGGTAAGGGAAAAATTAATTTTAATATTTAACTATGTAAAGCGGATATTTAGCGGACAGTTTGGAGTGCATGAGTTTAGTTGGATTGAAACGACAGTTTGGCAGTCAACGTATATAGTATTATTGTGGTTTATTATCGCATCAAATACACAAAAATGAATTCTGTTGGGAGACGCTGACTGAATTGGTCCGTTGTCACATATTATAGGATTAGGTTTGCCACCTTCTGTATTTCCTTTCCCACTAAAATTAAGTAGGCTGGAGAAGTGTTCCTGCCATGTGCTTAGTATGCTTTGATTTTAAAAGCCTCTTAAAGAAAATTAATTTCATGAAGTTTTTACACATTACCATTGCCGGTCTGCCTTTTAAGCTATAGCTTCTTTTATTTTTTCATTTTTATCTACAAACGCATCTCGTTTCAACTCTTGATATACCACAGCGGAGCACACAATTGAAAGTGCTCTTGATATGGAATTTTTTAATAGTCCTCTCAGAAAACAAACCGAGCAGAATTGTTTGTTTTGATTGTATTTTTTTTTATGCTTATTTAACCTAGGTAGGTTGTTTGTTCGTTATAAGAACCTCGGTGAGTACGCAGTTAAATACACTGCAAACATACTAGCTAGCCGAAGAGAGCCGCTAAAATGCAGTGCTACAGACAACTGCACTACGATGTTTCTTTCTTCTTTGCTTGAGGCGGGTCAGCGCTCAACTAGATATTTGGGTGCACGCTTTCTCAAATTACAGTCCTAAGCTACGATCCCCTTTAAAAGTGGAGTCTCTCAGCAGAGTCTAATGTCTATTTTCCATTGGACCTCGTTTCTGCATGCCGCGGACCAAACACAACGAACAACATGGTTGCATTTAAACTTGAGATATGTATACCGCGAACCACTTTATTTAAGACCGGCTATCGACTGGCGCATCTCTACCGCTGCCAAAAAGATTCTGGTGAACTCTTAAACCCAATATGTCGAATCTACTAAATTTCAATCTCATTTAGCTGAGTCCCAAGAATATTTGTATTCGATAACCACATAGCTCCAAGGGATGCGCATGTTTTCAGTTGAAACGGTCAGCACAGAGCAATAAGTTTTTTGTATATCCTTACAACTGCAACTGCATTCGTAGAAAAAGAGGTGCACAGGTGGCTCACACATGGGGATCTTTTGGGCTTACTCATTGACTTATATGTGATCAGGCCCTTAACCATCTTAGATTTTTTTCTATGAATAAAATTTCCCGAAACTGCTAAGGTTAAACTGATTCTGACTAAGACTTAAAGTATCGGAGAAGTACAGCGGCTTCCGAAGACTCAATGTATAATTTCCTGGGATTAACAAAAATCCTTTACAAACACAGTCCTCCTTCCATATTTTTAGAACGATCCTCTGAAATGGAGACGAGAAAATTCCACTACCAACGCAAACCGAAATTTGCCATGAGATTATTTTCGGTATCGAAGTCTTTACAAACTATTTTTAAGTAATTCTGAAAAATCTAGGCAGAATATCCCCGAGAAGGTCGACTAAAATCTTTCTATGGTGACGTCATCATATCAGCTCTGGTGACATCCGAAATTGTCGAACATCCACGACTGAAACAAGAAAATGGAAATTGAAACAAAATGATATTAACAAAAAAATTATGCCTAATGAAAAGGGCTTGAATGACATGACTGTATTGCGAATATTAATTAATCATCTAGGATACAAATTCTTAAACAAATTGGAATGTGTCAGTCTAGAAACTTTAGTAATGTCGTTACTGGTGGCGAAACTTGGTTATATAAGTACGATCCAGAAACCAAACAGCAGACCCAGTATGGACCCTACCATAAGCAAACCTACCCGTTAATTCTAAGCAACAAAACTCAGCAGCAAAAGTAATGATATCAGTTTACTTTCACCGATCCAAATCGATGCTTCATATGATACACTGAAGTTCTTCCTAAAATTGCCCAAAACTTTGCTTGGAAAAGAGGAAGAAAGAAGATTTGCGGCAATGCTTTTTACATCCCACACTGCTAAAATAACGACTTTTTTTCAGTATCTGAGATTGAGGAAATACTTCCAGAACATTATTCCCCGAATATAACGAAAATAAATATAAAAAAGAAAAGGTCTTCAATAGCAACGAGGAGATAATTATTGCAAAAAACGAGATTTTGAAAACTGTTTTCAGAAATTGATGTGTAGGCTTAAGAAACGCGTTGAAATCAATGGTAATTACGTAGAAAAGATAAAAAAGGGCAACGATTACGAATAAACACAAAACAATTTTTTGGTTGGTTTGTCCTGGTCAACCTACCGAATTTTCGTTAATCCCCTCATATTAAGAAAAATTAATTAAACTTACATTTGTACTAAATTTCACAGTAATATATGGGCAATTTGCTCAAAATAGTGTAGCCGATTTTATTATTTCAATTAAAATTGTCAAAACGAAATGAAGGTCGAAAGGTGAGAATTTATCTTTTTCACAGAAATTGAAAACGAGGAGAGTTTTCTTCTTCCTCTGTTTTCACCAACTTTCAAAGCAAAGTATTCTTATCCTTGCGGACCATATGCAGGTCGGGAAATGATGAGTGACTTGTATAATTTTGCCTTTGTTCATCGAGAGAGGAGTGTTGATGCTGACATTGTTTTTGGTGTTAATATTGGTTCTGGGATAGACGATTTCATCTACGATTTCAAAGTTATGACTATTTACATTATCTTTCACTACCAGTCCAATATGCTTCGTATTATTATCCAATCTGGAGAAAAAAAAACTCAAAGAACTGTATTTGAGGTCAATGATGTCAATTGCTCAAACCAGCCAGTCCTCTTTTTAACTATAAAAGAATCAATGTCTGTTGTAAGGGACATATCTATGCCCTACATGCACTCGTATGTATATATGTATGTATGTATAATATGAAATGTTCCTGTGTACTGGAATGCCTGTGTGAGAATGCCGTACATATTTCGGTACAAAGTTGCCGCTGCTGCGTCAAACCTACTCAACCTGAGATAAAGCGAAATTAACTAGACTGGGTCCTGACGAGCCAAAGTATGGGGAACATGATGGCAACTACGGTGTGGGTGGGCAGGGAAATAATTTAACACACATGACTGCTGCAACTGTCCCAAACACAGTTAACAAACCAACCAAGCAAGCAGTCAAATGGAAATGAGTATGGTGATATTCCCAACTCCGCAGCATTGTTGCTGTTAGATGTCGACGGCCACCGACTTTTGCGTATACGTAACATACCGAAAATATGCGAGCCGAATTGTGTGTGTGCACGCGTTTGTTTATATGAGATGAAAGGACGTTCTTATTTATTTGTGTATTTGTGTGAAATGTGATTTGAAACAGCGGGAGATGTTGGCTGAGGTCTACGTGCATGATCAGTTGATATCCTCGAGTACATTGACATGCAATATTTTAATATGCCACGGCAACCAGGCAGTGTAAGAGTAGAAACGACAACAAGAACTACCTGTAATAACCACCACAAATAACCGGAGACGTGAAATATTCTTAGGCTGCAACTACCCATTTTACTTGCCAGCCGTCCATAAGTGGCGACGCCAGGGCGAGATACATACACTAGTTATCGACGCTGCTGAGAGCGGCGAATTTTGCCAGCTGCCAGTGTGTTTTCACACTTTTGAACAAATTCATAACTTTTCGTACACGATAATATATACATATTATATATCGTTGGAAAGGTGACAGTCCGAACTGTAAATCAAGCATAAAATAACTTCATTTTGATTTGAGTTGCTTAGTGAAAAGACCCATGGAAGATGTACAACGAAAGAGATCATATGCGTCATATTATGTTATACGAAATCCAAAGGAAAATCAGTAAGCGCAGCAACTAAAGATATTCGCGAAGTTTATTTGGACCGTGCTCTAGTATTCCGCACAGTAAAGAAATGGTTCACGAAATTTCGTTCTGGAGATTTTAACCTCGAAGATCAACCTCGCAGTTGACGGCCTTCTGAGCTTGATGACGATGTTCTAAGGACTTTAGTTGCGAATAACTCACGTATTTCGACGGAAGAGGTTGCCAGTGAATTGAAGGTCAACAAATCAACTGCGTTTCGTCGTTTAAAAAAGGTTGGGTACACTTTGAAGCCACATCAGTGATGAAAATGGATCCTGTACAACAATATTCAATATTAATAAAGCTGTGGGGCCGTTATATTGTCGGACGAGCTATTCAATTACGAAGGTGAAAAACTAACAAGAAGCGTGTATCATTTTTTTTGAAAATAGTGGGATAAGCTTTGTCCATATCGTATGTAAAGCTATATCGGGCGTATTATGTAAAAGATTAACGCCCATCATCAACAAACTTATTTGACCTTATCAGAGTACCTCCAGCAGAAACCTGATTTTCACCATATTTTAAAGCAGTCTCGATAAGACCAAAAAGAACTAGCTCTACGCCAAATTTATAATCTTCTGAAAAAATATACAATTGACATCATTGGCCTCAAACACAGTGCTGTGAGTTCTTTTTTCTCCATACTGGATAATAATACGAAGCATATTGGTCTGATAGTGAAAGATAATGAGATGAAATCGTCTATCCTGGAACCAATAATAACACCAAAAACAATGCCAGCAGCAACGCTCCTCTCTCGATGAACGAAGACAAAAATTATACAAGTCGCATATGGTCCTGCATATGGTCCGCAAGGATAAAAATACTTTGGCTTTGAAAGTAATCGACGCAATACTGGTTGCTAGAAACACAGGAAGAAGAAGATCTCAACTTCGGTGAGAAAGCCAGGCGGAGAAGGATGAAAAATTAATTAAGAAGAAGATAGTTTTTTATTTACTACAACGATCAAATTTCAAAAAGAAGAAGTGGTATATAAAGCGGTCTTAATAATTGAACGCCAACAATGCTCTTTATTCTAATGATAACTTCTTGTTTATAACATCTCCATCTCAATACCGTCGTGCCTCTGCCTATGTATGAAAATAACAAAGCACATGTTACTGACCTAGGTTTAATCATTGTATACAGCTTCGACTCACTGTCAATTCGCGGCTTGTTTTTGTGCAGGTGATCAGTAAACGAGATCCTCCTGGTTGATTCGAATCGATTGTTACTGGAACCCGAACATAGTTTTGTAAATTTAGTCATACAATCTTTTGCAGGATAGCTAAGCTGCATCCAGCTACATGAAATATGCACATATTTTAGAAGAAGAAAAACAAGTAGCGATGTGTGGCCATATAAGTATTATAAAGTAATGAGCTGGAATCGAAATATATGGTTTTCATGTGGCTTGCTACGAGATTCGCGCCGGGCTTTTTAATCGATTGTCTAAAACGAAATTATGTATGTATATTCCAAAGTTAGCTTGACAGTTCATTATAACCATAAAATTCGCATTTGCTGCCAGGTTAACAACATTAAGAGCTGGAAATAAGAGCGAACATATTCAGTTGTATAACGGGTCACATTGACTATCAATAATAGTTATAATAATAAGCCCAACGAATACCCTCTACCCGCCCAACCGAGATTAGAGGTAACATCCGAATAACGTGCGAAGTATGCCGAGTCATGACTGGGAAGCGTTTGTTAAATGTCAAGATTTAAATCTGTTCAACTACAGGAAAAATTATTATTCAACAGCTTCAATGCTAAAAAGTGAGTCTGAGTGATCGAAGGTGCTGAAATGAAAATTAAAATTGTGCCACAATCGACGAAAGGATTCATTCAATTCATAATTTGTTTAACCTGACTTTAATAGTAAAGGCCTTAACTGCGTAGCTACACGAGTTGGAATATTAAATGTACAATGTAGAACCTATTTGCTTTAATTAAGGTATCAAATTAAAGACTTATATTTTTTTATAAATATTTATAATTCATATTTTTAGCTCGAAGATTTGCTATTGTATTAAGTAATAAAAGTAAAGGGCTTCTAAATGACAGATGTTGTTTTAAATAGCCTACTATTTCATCAAAAAATTGAGCTGCTGGGGCAAGTTAATGATGCGTAGAATAAAACGCGTGCACGTCGCTCAAGTACTACCGAGAATATTACTGCTGTGGCCAATAGTGTTTCAGATACTCCAGGTTATTCTATTTTTCGTCGTTCTTTGGGTAACGACTTGAGTCATAAGGCTTATCAAATTTAGTTGCTTGATTGGGAAACTCAAGATTTGTTGTTGAAAAACATCGCCATCCTCAACGTGTAATTGAATGGTACTGAAGCAGACAACGTTTACTTTCAATCTTTTCCGGACCGTGGTACCTCTCATAGAGGTGATCGCAATTCGATACCAAGATTTTGTGGCCTAATTCTTACGACGTATCTTTTTTGGGCCACTTGAATGATACGATGGACGACAACAGGCCAACGTCGATTTAAGACCTCAAAGATGGAACTCATGAAGCTATTCAGGGCATACTGCAGCTACTTTCTGATTTGATTATGAAAAATTTTATAAAAGATTATGGTCCATTATGGCCCCTTAATTTCATTGATGTAAACATCCTCTCATATGTCTGAAAAACTCCTTTTTTTCAGTGATCTTCTCAGACATTTATTACGATAACTTATGAACAAACCTTGTTACATTTTTGAACTCGTACATTCTATAGCTTAATGAAATTCGTTTTTTTATTCACGAACTTTTACAATTATTCACCCATAAACCATTTTACTGTCAAACAAGCCTGTTAATGAATTTAAGAATTGTACTTGGCAAGTAGGAAATTAAAAGTTTTCTAAACAAACGGAAAATGTACTTCTACTACTAACTAATAAATTTCAACCATTTGTAAATTACTTCCAGGTGGCACACGAAACGTCCAAATAATGAGGAATCCATACAACATTTGTTAGCGACAGGTCGTGCGAAACTTGGTAAGTTGGGCGAAATGAAAATTTTCCTCAATTAGTCCAATGATTGTTTTTGATGCATACTCGTATATGCATGTAGTATATATACAAAGTATTCGAACATCATATTTTTATTCTTTTTTGACTTTTTTCAAGATTTGCAGCATTTCGGGCTTTCCAAAACAAACTATTATATGGCTGAAGGATGGTCAACCATTACGTTCCGGTGCATGCGTTCGTTTACTTTCTACAGAGCATATACGCATTACGTTAATTACGAATGAGGACAAGGGAATGTATCAGTGTGTTGTGAAAAACTACTTGGAATCAACACAAGGTACGGCTGAGTTAGGAAAATTTTTCTCTGGTGCTGCAGTTCCTTTTTTATTCATTTGCTATTGAGATATTAAATGAATATAAACCATTCGAGGTTTCCGATCTCGTTTACCTTGATTTTGCATACCAATGCTTTCTTTCACTTGTGACTTTTAGGTCCCAAGCGTGGGAACCCGAAGTTATAATAGCTGCGTACCTATCACTGAAGATTGTATATTTTCCTTTGTTTTTTCTGTGTAAGCTTTAATACTTCCGGATTATCGAAAGTATACACCCAATGGTCTGCGCTGCTTAGTAAAGAAGTATAGTTCTTGAGAATTTTTGAAAGTTTTGTTCAAGTCAGCTCCATAATTTCTGTTCTCATTGTCAATTCTATAGACAGGATGTCAAGAATAACGTTCGGAGCTTCACTTAGAGTTGTTCTAAGTACAACACCATTTAAGAGTTTCGGTCTCAGCACGGACACGTATGTGAATAATATGCTCTTTCTAGCTTTTTTTGTCAAGAATGACTTCATAAAGTATAACCTTAGCTACTACTCTTATTCAATTTCCTTATAGGAATTCTCGACTAATTAATACAGTCCTGTTGAAGGGGACATGTTCCACTTTATTACAATTAATACAGAGTCAATAGCGATTAGACCATAGCAACGCACTTGCCGTTTTATCCATTGGCTATGTCATCAGTATAGAGCCAGCCACCACATCATTATATTCCATTTAGAAATGAGTTCAAAAGAAAAACTGACCTGAGCTGTTCCCCTATAGACATGCCGAGTCCCCCACAGTCACTGTTCTTAATAATGTTGTCCCCCACTAGAGTGTTTAAATGATAAATTCCGGCAACTGTCTGGTCTTAATGTATATCAGAATACATATTTTCCTACCCTCAAAGCCTAATGGCAGGCGCAAAGTCCGTCCTTGTATGTGTTCCAATGATTTTCTTGACGCATTTTTTTGGGCTTATTGAATAGTCTCCGCTATAATTTACTAGGGTTAAGCTGTCTGTGTTGTATTACAATGGCTCCATTTCCAAGTCCGAAATTAGTTAATTATCTACATCGCTCGTCAGCCATTTAAAATCCTTCCTCTCTACATTGCAGTATCCGTTGTCACACGTTGTCACGTGTAATTTCTGAACTATTCACCCTATTTAAGGATATTCTTTTCAGTATCGAGCGCTGCGATATGTGCCCTATAATGACGTCATTGTCCATGCTCTTTGAGTTACGACCGGATGTTTTATAATGTTTTTTTTTGTAGTGATCGTATTTGCAAATTTCTATCAAACTTTTAGTGTTTACGGCACAAATAAATATATAATGATTAATTTTTGTATTTTGTAGAAGTGGCAACTCATTTATAAATTCATCGAACAACTACATAACCACGACCATCAGTGTCGCTGAAATATAGTGCCAGTGGCAACCCCACACCAAAAATCGTCTGGCGCTTAGATGGATTTCTACTGCCGAATTTAAGTATGGTAACACTTTAAGACTGGAAATTAAAAAAAGTTATATGCATATGTTAATAGCTAGAAAAATTATTTTCAGCCAAAGTATTTTATTATTACTATTTAATTTTATTATATTTTTTTCCTAAACTATCAACATTAAGCTTTAATTTATCAACAATATATGAATCTAAACGCCATTTTTTTATGTTAGCTATGCTAGCTAACTACATTTCCAGCCACAATTAAATATGGTTTTCTTTAATAAAAATAAAAATAAAATATACGACAATCTCGAAAGCATTGCGCTACTTCACTTCATTTTTAAAGGATTAAAAAATTGCTAACTCGATTATTTACCTGTCAGTTAGACACTCTGTCAAAGTTACTTCATAGAAGACAAGGTGTCTGTGTAATTTAAGTTGCGTCTACAAACGTCTTCATATTTCAAATTAAATCATTCCATTTGCGGAAATTGCACAAATGTGTATTCATGTACATATATATGTATTGTATGTACGCGTATGTATGGATGTTGTGTGTGTGTGTGAACATATTCAGGCCCTGAGTGAAGCATCAACGCGAGAATGCTGTCACCAGTAAATTTAAATATGACATACTATGGGGAAAAAGCTAGTCATATTCACAACCCTGCTCTTACACGCACATAAACACACACTTCTTGCATATAGCGCAGCAATTTTATTTTCAGACGCTATGTGATGGAAAAAGAGTAATGGCAAGAGCACTTGAAACCACCAGGAGTATGAAGCATAAAGGTGAGGTGGTGTGGCGGTGACATGCTCTAGTTTGAGTGTTGAAATTGTTTTAATATCTTCGAATTTCATTATCAACTTCTACATACTTGTGCAACTAAGCACCAAATGTGAGAAAGCAGGAATATAACCGCATGGAACTAATTGCGTGTGCAAATATTTGTTCGCGTGCGTTTGTTCATAACATTTCAGAAATGAAAAGGTTTTTTCAAAAAATGTAATATAAAATTAAATTAAATAAAACTGAAAGAAAAAAAATTAAATTAAATTAAATTAACTAAAATGAAGTGCATTAAAATAAAACATACTAATATAAATAAAATCAGTAAAATAATAAAAAATAATACCAAGTAGAGGAAATAAAAGCAACACAAAATAAAATGATGTGAAATATAACATAAAAAAACTATTTCTTATTAGCTTTTGAGTGAGCTAAAGGCCGGGCTTGTTTGTATGAATTAAATATATTTGTTATACAACAAAGAAAAATGGTAGAAGTGACAACTGTTTCGGAGATCACCACATCACACATAAGAAGTCTGATGTTATGACAGGTATCGAACCAACGGATCCTGACTTAACAGGCGATAAGAAGTCTGATGAGAAGACGTGGAGATCTTCGAAAGAGCTGTCCTTTTCTATCAGTTTTCTTTGTTGTATAACAAAAATATTCACACAAAAAAACAGGACTTTAGCTCACTAAAAACGTTTCATAAAATTAATAGTATGGCCGCAAAAAACAAACAATTATAATATAATTTAGCTATCGTAATATTATATTTAATAAATTAAAGGGAAGTAAAATAGTGTAAGACTAAAATTAATCAGAATTAAATGAATAAAACAAGTCAATATATATTACTATATAGACCCATTAAATGAGAGAAGAAAATAAAATTTAAAAAATTTAAACAAATGAAGCAAAAGAAATAAGATTATATTAAGTAGAATAAAATAAACTAAAATTAAGTAACATAAATTAAAATAAAATCAAAGTAAAATAAAGTCAAAACGAAATAATTTAAATTATTTAATTTAAAGTATAAATATAAAATGAAATAAAGTAAAATGAAAAATATAAAATAAGACAAACTTAAATTAAAAAAGATATAAGATAATGAGATTAGAAGAAAGATTTAAGTCAAGTGAACAAAATTAAATTACTAAAATAAAGAAAAAAATTAAATCAAATTAAAAGTATAACTAAGTAATAGAATAAAAAACAAATGAAACAATGTAGTGCATTAGCGGTTGTGGAAGAAGGGCGAATATATTCGCCTGAGCAATATGCTCGTATCAAAAATTTGGTCGTAACCCACTAGTCTTATTCCGATGCCCGTGAGGCATCTAAGGCTGCGCAGCTGCCAATCGGAACTTCACTATGAGAAGATGAACTTATTTGCATTATAGGCTCTTTAGCCGTATAACACATGTATGCATAGATGTAAAGTACAAATATGCATATATACCAGTACCCTGCGCCTAAAGTTGTGCCAGGACTTATAGATCTAAATGAAATACAATTAAATAAGATGAAATAAAAATTAAACATAAAATACATAAAAAAATTGAAATCAATTGAAAAGAAATACTAATTTTTAAGGTAAAAAAGAGATATCACAAAATAAAATGAAGGAAAGTCTAGAGAGCAAATAAAGATAAAATAAAATAGATAATTATAAAAATTTTTGAATATGACATCATTCCAAAGTAGCACTTGTTGGCGCTGTATTTCAAGGCTGGCGTTATTCTGGTTCTTAGATAGACGAAATTATCAACGAATTCAGTGTTATGACTGTCAACGGTGACGTGGGATCCGAGTCACGAATGCGATGACTGTTTGTGTGATGAAAGCAGATATTTAGTCTTGTCCTCGTTCACTACCAGAGCTATTCGCTTCGCTTCTTTATCAAGCCTGGAGAAAGCAGAACTAACGGCGCGGTTCTAGGACTAATTGCTTTGCACTTCAGTAATATACGAGCTAATGTTTTAAATTTTTTCATTGATATCCATTTTACGAATGTGATTGCGCAGCCTGCAGTGTCCTTTAAATAATCTTGTTAGTATTATTTAGTTATTTTTACTGTATAAAATAATTTCTTCGATTCAATATGTATTAGTTTTTGGATTACTTATCTCTCTTATTTCTTCATTTCTAAGCCTTTCTTTTATTGTGTACCTTCCTGTGGAAAAGAAAGTCTTTGGCCCCCAAATACTTTTTGGAACTTCCTTTGAAATTTTCATAGCATGAAATTGCGGTTTGAGCTGTCCTTCAATTTGTCAATATCTATGTTTTTTACATTCTCATTTCTAATACTCATGCATGATCTTAGGGACCAACTTCCCTGTGATATATCCCTTCCGAAAGATTTGCAAGCAATCGTTTTTCCAATGCTCTCCACGCCCTGCGTATGCGCTTGCTTTAACTGCCTTTGCATATTATCACTGCTGCTGATGGCTGCTGTTGGGACAACCAACGTGCGAGTATTTTGCATAACTTCCATTTTGATGTCATGCCCGAGAGGATATGCAAATTAAAGTCAACATCAGAGTTTCACGGCATTCGAATTCTCCAGAGTCTGTGCCTTAAAATGTACCACTTCGAGAGACACATACGTGTATGAATGTAATGCGCCACAACTTTAAAATGCCATCAACACTCGTCAGAATCTTACGAAAAGTTTTACGCCAAGTTTTTTGTGGTTTAGATAATAGCATGACGTTTTTTTTATAAAACAAATGAGCACATTAACTTTTCCCTTTTCTTTACATATTGGGTTGCTCAAAAAGTAATTGCGGATTTTTTAAAAGAAAGTAAATGCATTTTTAATAAAACTTAGAATGAACTTTAATCAAATATATATTCGCCATTTTGTTTGATAACCTTTTATCATCTTCCTGGCAAATTTAGTATTCCACGCTCATACAAGTAGAACTTCTGGCCTTTATCTGCAAAAAACTGAACCAAGTGCGATTTTATAGCCTCATCATTGCCGAAAGTTTTACCATTTAAGGAGTTCTGCAAAGATGTGAGATGTGAGGCATAATTAATGATGACGATATAGTCGCTCAGGCAGTATATTTTCAATAAACGATACATACTCGTCTGTATAGGATAAGTTATTTCGTAGTTTCATAAGAACAGGGCAATACGTTGACATCTGGTAAACTTAATTCTCAAACGAAACATGCTTTGTTTTAGATTAAGATCAGACATTTATCGTTATTTCATGTGAAAGTGTAGCGGAAGAGCCGGATGTGTCTATTTCGCGCCGTTCTCTGAGCGGATTTTCTTACGGCACTTACGTTCATAAGCTCAAACTTTTCTTCAGCCACGAGATATATTTCGCACTAGTGGGATTCGCAAATGAGAGAAATTGCTACATTTCCGAAGAATCTCAAATATTTGAAGAGAGGCCATTACGCCTAAAAGAACTTACTCGTTGCACCTTTCTTTGATCCAAATGACTCATTGGACTTAATTCTTTGAAAACGACAACAGCTAAACTGTCACTGTCAAACCGGAGCGTTACAGACGTATGATAACCGACTTGGTTTGTCCCGTAACTAAAAAGCGCGATTTGGAAAGTATCTGGTTTCATCAAGATGGTGTAACACGGCCCAAATCACGAGGCACTATGGCTTTATTGCGAGAGAAATTTCCCAACCGTGCAATCTCTTTCCTGGGCGATTGACCACCAAGATCGTGTGGTTTGACACCGTTAGAATGTTTTTGTGGGGCATCGCAAAAGACAATGTTTAAGCGGTTCGAAGTTTTCAAACATACGGTCATTTGAATTATGTAAATAATGGCAAAGTTCACGGGGATACCATGTGCATATGATAGTCTTCGGCTTGTGAGTTTTCTGCAAGGATGATTAAAAATGTTAGTAAAGCTTATTACGTAGGCAAAGCGTGCCGTTGGGATTAATTATGAAACTTGGGTGCGATGAAAATAAATTGATCTGAAGAAACCTATTCAAGGAACTGTCCTTATAAAGGGATTATGTCGTATCTTCTTTCGCAATTTTACGCTAATTAGAAACACATAAAGAGTACAGGAAGTGTTTAAAAATGATCCTTTCCATGGAATTAAATTTTCCTTTTTATATGTTTTCATTTTCTATTGTTAAATCTCACTCACATATCTGATGATCTTATACTAAAGTCCCATTTACATATCTATCTTTGCAGATGACGAGCAAGGGACTCAACAAAATGCCGGTTGTTTGGCCGCCTGTATCCCTGAATTTGTGTTCGTCATTTCATGCGATGTATACTCGTGAGCGCTATGACAACCACACTACCGGAGCGTGTAAGCCAGAAGCCAGTTGTCGTCGGCGTGGTCTTTTTCACCATATTCGTCTCCACCAAGAGTAACATCAACACCAATCCCTGCGTGAAAAGGTGCATGCTAAAATAATCATGAGGTCAATTCAACAGCGTGCAAAACGGCTGTGACTATTAGTTGTTGATGGGCGAAAGGCCATCGACCAACTGAAAAGAAGCTACACCAACTGGCACCGTGGCAGGGACACCATGTTGAGGGAATGAGCACATAAGGTAGAGCCCCAAACGCCAGAAGGTTGGCAACTTGCCTCCATGCACCAAGGCTCTTTGACCTCCATACTTTTAATTTTTATTTCAATCTAAAACCTGATGGTTGGTGACTAAAAGCCACAAATTATGAGAAAATTCGCTAGTGTATAAAATTCATAGAATTGTAGTTTCGTTTAAAATAATATCATTGTATAAATAATTAAAAAATGCAATTAAATATAGTACATATGTAAAAATAATAATTCTCTATATTCTTTCGTATGGAAGTACTAATTCCCAAGTATTTTTAAGTTTTGAAAAATTTTGGATAAACGGTGATTTTCAAGCTGTTATCTTTTTGGCAGCACAGGTTTAAACAGCCGACGCACGTTTCGTATTTTGTATCACTGTCAAAAATCTTCAGTTTGGTCTATAATTTAACCATGAATCGTCTTACCAACGAACAACGCTTGCATATTATTGAATCGTAACGTAATTGTGATTTGTGAGCGCTACCTTAAGGTGATATCAAACTTTTTTTGGTCCAAAATACAAGAGCTTGACTTGCATGACATGTAGTGAACATTTTATTTCACATTCGGGACCGGTCAATTGGTCGCCTAGATCATACGATTTCATGCCTTTTGACTATTTTAAGTTAAATCTAATGTCTATACAGACAAGCTCGCTTCAATTGTCGTATTGGAGGACAACATTGAAGAATATATATTTGTGAGATACCGGACGAAATGTTGGAAGAAGTATGCCAAAATTGGACTAAGAGGATGGACCATTTGAGGCGCAGTCGCGATCAACATTTGCATTAAATAAACTTCAAACATTAAATTATATGGACCGTACTATCGATTTAAACAAATACGAGGATGTCATGCATTTGTATGAATTTTTATGTTTTTTTTTGAACAACTTTCCTCGTCCTTCATAAGTTTTAATACAGTAAGTATTTCTCCCAGTACATTATATTTAACCTGACACAGACTGGCCGTCCTTCCTTTTGTGTATTTATCAGGATTGAATTTGATTTCAATTAGCAGGCACTGGGTTTTTTCTTGGCTCTAATGAGGACAAATTGAAAAAAAACGAGTCTTGGTTAAACAAAACTAGTAGTTGTTTCGATTAAAGCGGCATCGCTACTTATTATAAAAGTCAGCTGAGTAGATTTGAACCCACCACATGAAAAACAACATTCAGTGAAAAATTTAAATCAGGGAGCTCAGGTGGAGAGTGACCTGGCTACACTTGGTATTTCCAACTAGCGCCAGACAGCGGGAAGAAGTGAGGAATGGCGCGCTAATATCGATTCGGCTGTAATCGCGTAAGCGGTGCCTACACCAATAAAGAAGAAGAATTATTTACTATATATTATTTTTTTATTTTATCATTTATTTAATATTTATTATCAAATATTTAATTTTTTTTGTTTAGCTCTTTATATGTACGTATGTTTTACTATTTATTAGCCCTAATTCTGTTGTTATATTTGTTGAAAATTTATTTATTTTATTATCTTTCTTTTTATTTATAGTAATTAATTTTTGTTCAATAATTGATATTTTTTTATTACCATTATATATTTACTATTTATTATACAGATATTTTTATTGATTAATTGTACTTTGTCTTTATTGGTTATTTTTTTATTATTTATGAATCATTACATATTACTTATTATTTATTTCTTGTAATAATTATTTAGTTTTTAGTTTGTTATTTAATAATAATTCCTTACTATTAGTATTATTTATTTCTTACATTTTTTAATATTTAATACTAATAACTTACTTCACATGCTGGAATATACCCCGCAGAATAATTTTTTGATCTTAGCTAAAACTAGCATATGGCTAACTCGTCATTATATGGGTTACCAATAAAATTTTGTCAGAACTTTATTGAAGATGAGTATTTGTTCAAAATATTTAAGGGTTTGGTAAAAGTAGCGTACTCTTTTACGTGAAATACAATATATTGAACATAGAGATAAATGCAACGTTAGAATGCACAAGAAAGGAACGCATTTAATAGTTGTAACTGAAGAGATCTCCCCACGGTTTTATATTCGGAAATATTTTTCATCTACAGGCCTATTCCAAATTTTATTCAAACATTGTAGCCAGTTCGCCAGAATACCAAATTCAATTTCGGGTGTTAAAGAAAAGTAAAAAAAATTTACTTTACCAGTAACAGTGAGAATAGTCTCTTTGTTTTACTTTTGGCTGCATTGTACTTCTATTCAGATCGTTGCTTTAACTAATTTACTCTGGTAAAAAGTATTTTGTAACAATCAATTTCAAAACATTTCAGCCGATAGTCATTCCATAAGTCAAAATATGCTAAAACGGCTTAAATGCATAAAATGAAAAATAAATATACAATATAAAAATAATAAAATTTACAATTTATAAAAATAAAATATCTTCGCACGTTATTTGCAAATAACTAATACGTACCAGCATAAAAGGCATATATATGTTATATATTATTACATATAAACTTTAATTTGCACTGAACAATTCACAACTCATAAAAAATATTTTCACATTTAAACTTCACGCTATTTCAATTACCTATAAAACGTATTTTTGCCACGTCTGCTAACAAAAATACACAAAACTCGCACACTCACGCACGTCTACTCATATGCACATGCTGGCATTTTCCCAGTTTTATGCGCAACAACAAAAAAATATTATTGCATTTACCAACTAACAAATGAACGAAAAATAGAGCAAACATGCATACCTTTATTTAAATACATACTACATGCATATACATAAATATATACATACAGACATATTTCTATAATATTTTACCATTCACTTGTCTAACTACGTTTTTTCTGATTTGCTCTCTGCTTTGTCTTTCTACTCGTTACCTACCGAATTTTTTCCCATATTTCAGTGCTATTTTCTTATTTTTTTATACTCCGTATTTATACCCATTTGTTCATGCTCGTTGTGTGTGTGTATTTTGAATTTTGTTGGTGTTGCTAAACATTTCTTTTTTGGGCTGCATACTATCAGCTTGCAAAGTCTTGTGCAATTATTTTTTTCATGCACGCACATCTACTAATATGGTACATATATATTTCATATATGTATTTATATGTAAAAATAACAATTTCAAATTTGCAACGCGTTGTCTTGACATATCACAGTGAGAAATTGCAAAGATAAATGTTAATCAAGGATTTTTTGTGTCAGGACTCTAATATAAATGCACATACATACGTATGAATTCTATGTATTTATTTCTAGCACACATAAAAAACGAAATCAATAAAAATATTTAACAAAAAAAATAATTAAAAAAAAACTTACACTATATAAATAAATTAACTTAAAATAGCGCACATCAAATAAACAAAAATACTGTTGTTCGTTGCGGGGATCGGGGGAGGCACCGTACTTCCACAAGTAATCCGATCTGTAACAAAAATTAGAAAAAAACCTTCTTCCTCTCCAAGAGAGTGCACCAAAACAAGCTAGCTTTTTTGTTAGAAATTATTAAATATTTTATTTGAATATTTTATGTGATATAAATTATTATTTACATATATATGTGAAATATACCTAGAAAAATAGGAAAGACTCACTTTGGTGTCGCTGATACGCCGAGTTGGATAAAAAGAAGAAGGTCTGTTAGGCAACATTGGCCTTTTATTGACTCCACAGAAGGGGAAATCTTCATGGAATCGCTAACGGGATTCAAAACTACCAAAATGGTTTATCATGTTATCTTCCAGTGGATCAGCGACATCTAGGGGCGAGACTGTTGAGACGCAGCAGGGTTGCACGCATAAACATGCCGCCCACCTTGCAGCATCACTGCAACAGAAGTATTCCAAATATTTATACATATGAGTGGATAATTCAAATCATGTCCTTTACATTTCAATCTTTTTATTTAAAATTTAATGCAATTCACTTTACTTAAAACTAAAAAAGAAGAAAAAAAAATAAAAAAATCTTTATCTTAGGGTCGCCATCATTATTGACCTTTAGTAGGGCGTGCCTCCTGAAAGCACCCATCCGAACATCGTGTTCTGAGCGGCTGGCCGTGTGGGAGTAGCGGCCATCAAACCTGGTCGCAATATAGCGGCATATACATCTGCTCCCAGAACTAACGAGACTGGAGTTGCTCTGTAGAACATCGGGTCTGCCAGTCGTACGTTATCAAATTCGTAGACGATTCGCGCATCCAATGTATGCTCTGGCGTAGTCTTCATTAGGTTGGGCAGTACCTTCGCGCGTATCTCTAGGCGTTCACGCCAGGCTTTAAGTGTTAAGCTGGCTTCATTTCGCTGACCATGTGTTATTGCGTGGAGTTGTCTTGCTAATGCCTTTGATATCGTCGATGAGGATTGTCCTGGATCAATGAGCGCACGTACCGATAGCAGTCGTCCGTTCACCATTACTCTTGCCTTCACCGTTGGCGTAAGAACAGATCGACTCGGGATGCTTCGAGCAGACTCTTTTATTCGCTGTCGGGCGTCTCTTACATTATGGCGAGAGGGTTGTGAACGGTTTCGTGACCGTTGTTGTTGCAATGGTGGACGTCTTTCTATGGTGGATTGCGGGGGGCGATGAATCACCGACCGGATACCCGACAGAGGAGTTCTGGATATCGGCTCCCGTGGATGATGTGAGTCCTCAGATATTTGTGCGACGTCTTCTTCTTCTTCGCTGGCGTGGATCTCCAATACCTCGTCATCGTTTATGTCGTCCAGATCCTGAGCCGAGTAAGGGCAACGTTGTCTCTTCTGCATTTTATCAGCCGATCCTATGGCCGGCGGCACGTCTTCCTCACTTGTTGCGGTTTCCCACAGGTGTAGGAGACTGTGGTGTCGCTGCTGACATCGCTGGCAGGTTCTGGTGGATGGGCAATTTTTGGCCATGTGATGCGGCGATAGACAATTGGCGCAGTGGCGGTGCCGGAGGACAGCTCGAAGTCTCTCCGCGGGATCCATCCTTCGCATCTGGCGGCAAAATAACAATCGGTGATTATTTTTACACACCGGGCATTGATGTTGTGGTTTCGCCATCTTGTTGTCCTTGTTGTTGTTGTTCGCACGACCCATGTTGGAAATCACTAGAAGTAGAAAGATTAATTGGTTTTACGACGGGAAGCACAA